GTGGTGATGCTGTCTAACCCATATTTTTCTATCTTATCGAGTAGTAGGTTGTGGTCTACTTTATCAAATGCCTTACTGAAGTCCAAGTAAATTATATCCACAGCATTCCTCTGATCCACTAATTTTGTCACTTGGTCAAAGAATGTAATAAGGTTTGTCTGGCATGATCTGTTTTTGACAAACCCATGTTGGCTTTTAGACAACTTGTTCTCCAAAGAACCTGAAAGCAGAACAAGAACCAATGGTTGGAAACTAATCAAGGACAGGACCAATCTAGAAATAAGGAGAAATTTCCGGACAGCTAGAACAATTAATCAATGGAACGTCTTCAGAAGTTATGGGTTTTTAAGAAGAGATTGGACAACCATCTATCTGAAATGGGTATAGGGCAGGGGTAGGCAACCTTGGCTCTTTTATGACTCGTGGACTTCAGCTCCCAGAATTCCTGAGCCAGCCATGCTAAGGGGAAAGGGAGAGGTTTCCATGCTGAGCCATGCTGGCTCAGGAATTCTGGGAGTTGAAGTCCACAAGTCATAAAAGAGCCAAGGTTGCCTACCCCTGGTATAGGGTCTTCTGTTTGAGCAGGGGGTGGACTAAAAGACCTCCAAGGCCCCTTCCAACTCTGTCATTCTGTTATTGATTATGGTTATAAGAAGCCAGGTTACAAATGACAGTGGCACCCTGTGATGTCGGAACTGCGAGCCAGGTGCCAAGCATCTGAACTGCGATCATGTGCCCATGGGGACACTGAAAACAGCCAAAACTTTGAGGACATGTCATAAGTAGCAGTCATTCAGCATGGTCCTAAGTTTAAACAACCACTGAATGAGGGATCATTAAACAAGAACCACTTGCCTTTGCATTGTACTTTCAAATAAGTTTCTGAAATCATTTGGGGATTTTTATTTTCTTTTTGAATCAGAACAGGGCTGGAAGGGACCTTGGAGGTCTTCTAGTCGAACCCCCTGCTCAAGCAGGAGAACCTATACCATCTCAGACAAGTGATTGTCCAGTCTCTTCTTAAAAACCTCCAGTGATGGAGCACCTACGATTTCTGGAGGCAAGCTGTTCCACTGGTTAATTGTCCTCGCTGTTAGGAAGTTTCTCCTTAATTCCAGGTTGCTTCTCTCCTTGATTAGTTTCCATCCATTGAAACGGTTCCTGCAACCATTCTTCATGTGTTTTAGTCTCCAGACTTTTAATCATCTTAGTTGCTCTTCTTAATTGGTCTTTTTTCTAAAGCAACTCCTATTTCTTTGGCCTCCCAAAAAGGATAAAAATTTAAGAACTGAAGCAAATGGGATTGATGGAATTGTTCATGGGGGGAAAACTGCACCCAACGGGAACCTCGATGAGAGAATGAAAAAAAGGTCAAGATGATATCTAAGATTGGGGGGTGAATCAAATCCTCGCCCATTTATTGCCTGATTTAAAAGGGGCGGGGCTTTCAGTTCCCATGGATGCAGCTGAAAGTAAGAGACAGATGCAAGGGAGAGAAATTAATTTAGTTAGGACTTGAATATGGGAGCATCAGTTTGCACTTTTAACCAACACACAACCCAAAGGTTTGTTACCATTTAACATCTTCAGTTCTCAGTAGTTTGCAATGTGGTTTTCTAATGACAAAAACAGCGTAACAGTAATGAAAAGTCAATTCAAAAGGTTCATGAAATCAATGTCATAATTAAGCTGTTGATTCCAACCCCCTGAAAAATGCAGGAACTGAAATTAAAATGTCTCCGACATCTCCTTGAAAGAAATCCCATAAGGGGAACTCATTGTATCTGAGGATCAGTAGTTTCTGTGGCCCCTGTTTGTGTCGCTACTCTTGCCAAAATGACCAGAGCATCCTTGAAGTCTTTAAAGAACCATAAAGACGACCTTTGGACCATAAGAAAGGCTGAGCACAAAAGAATTGAGGTCTTTGCACTATGGTGCTGGAGAAGACTCCTGTGAGTCCCCTGGACTGCAAGGCGATCAAACCGGTCAGTCCTAGAGGAGATCAACCCCGACTGCTCTTTAGAAGGCCAGATCCTGAAGTTGAAACTCAAGTACTTTGGCCACCTAGTGAGAAGGAAGGACTCACTGGAGAAGAGCCTAATGCTGGGTAAGATTGAGGGCAATAGAAGAAGGGGATGACAGAGAATGAGGTGGCTGGATGGAGTCACTGAAGCAGTAGGAGTGCGCTTAAATGGACTCCAGAAGATGGTAGAGGACAGGAAGACCTGGAGGAACGTTGTCCATGGGGGTCACGATGGGTCAGACACGACTTCGCCACTAACAACAACAACAACAACAACAACAAAAGACAACCTTGGAAGAAGCCATCCAGAAGCCATTAAGTAGCTAGAAAATTATTAGACTCAACTCAAGATGTTTTTTCACGAGGCAACTGGACTTTCTTGTTTTCCTTTGAAGACATTTCCCTTCTCATCCAAGAGGTTTCTTCAACTCTGGGCTGAAGCTAGAGAAGCTTCTTGGATGAGAAACGAAACATCTTCAAAGAAAAACAAGAAAGTCCAGTTGCCTCATGAAAAAGCATCTTTGGGACAACTATGACCTTGATGACTGAACATCTCTGTAGACTTATTAGACTATCTTCCTCCAAATACCATGGAGTATAAAAAGGGAGGGAAAATACAGGAGGCTTGCAAGATTCTGTTACCATATAGACCAGACATGTCAAACTCGTGATGTCACGTGATGTCGCACGACGTATTGAAGCTTTTTGCAAATTGCCGGCAGTGGGGTGGGTGCGGATTCGTCGTGACGCATCCGGCCCACGGGCCGGCAGTTTGACACTCCTGATATAGACTATTTCAATTTCAACTAAATTAAATTATTAAATTTTTTAATGTTTAATATTTATAGTTTCCAATTTTTAAATAACCCCGATTCCCTTTATCACAATTCATCCCAAGATCTTACATCAGCTGATTAATAATACGATATAATATTCTTATCTATATAAATAAAAATGTAAATGTTCATTTGTTCAAAATCTTAAATCTCCGAAAGTTCTTCACTGATTGCTTTGAATTTTTGACACAACATTGCATTTGAATACGCGCATGTTTTTATATACCTACTATTATATAGATGTCACACCTGTGACAGGTAAAAACATGCTTTTTTGAAAAACAGCACCATCTGTTGGACGTAAAAGCAACACACTTCTTTTCCATTTAACCCGACTGATCCACAACAACGTGTGGCCGGGTACAGCTAGTTTTCTAATAATTTCCAAATATCTAAATTTAATAACCAAAATTTCTGTCATTTCAACATTTAATACTTCCTCTTTTTCTCTCTCAATACCTACCAGGGCATTGATTGTCTAGAAAGATTGAATGTTAAAATGACTAAGATATGTATAAACTAAAAATTATTGATAAATGTAAAAAAATTATTTGTATTAAATTGATATAATAAGAATTGTATTAATTTAAATGTGAGACAGTAAATGCCAAGGGAAAAAGAGAGGAAATATTTAACGTAGTAGCTAGTGATCTGTACTAAAGAAATTTGTATGTTATTGAATTATGAACCAACCCAGCTGCCACGTTGCTTTTCAAATATTTAAATGTAAAACTGGAAAATCAATTAAAAAATTTAATTATTAAACTTGTTACAGCCAAGGGAACCCGTTGGAGTTTCTTTCTAATATTTTCTACCTCCCTGAACTCAACATAAGCATCTACACCTGAGACTCTCTTAAGGGCTTCTGGCTGATATCTCCAAGGTTGTCACAACACACCTGAGAAAAGGATGTGGCTTATACCACATCACCACGATGCTGCAAAGAACCTGCAGGTTGGGGTAATATAGCTTAAACCACGGGTACTAAACCTTGGCACTTTTATGATTCGTGGACTTCAACTCCCAGAATTCCTGAGCCAGCACAGCTGGCTCAGGAATTCTGGGAGTTGAAGTCCACGAGTCATAAAAGAACCAAAGTTGACTACCCCTGGCTTAAACAGATAGGCGGCAGCAGATAAGGGAATATTTTCTGAGAAGCTTTATCAATGAATGGCCTGCTTTTTGCAGCCTGGCATCACCACTTACTCTATTATCACCAAATCCCATAGCCAGGTTTCAGGGAACTCCAATCTGATAGTCTCAACAGGCGTAATTACATTGGCAGAGGTCATGATCATGGGAGAACTAAATGAGCGGTAAGCACCTGGAAAAGCCATCGGTCCTGGGGCACCTGACAATGGTACAGGGGCAAAATCTAGAGGGAAAGAATATGAGAGAATTTACTGTACATGCATTCCATCTTATTTGTAAGTAGCCTCTGTAGACCTGATCTGCAGGAACTCATCGCATCTCCTTGAAAACCATACAAATGAGTGTCCGTCACCCAAACTTTCCTGGAGATGAGTTCTACAAATTCATGCTGGAGAACTTCTTCTTTTGAAAAGAAGGACTAGGGGGTGACATGATACCGTGTTTCCAGTGGTGGGATTCAGCTGGTTCGCACCGGTTCAGCAGAACCGGTAGCTAAATTTTGCTGCATTCGGAGAACTGGCTGGCTTCCAGAAGTCCAGTCTAAGCCTCGGAGGCCTGGAGCAAGCCTCCCAGGCCTAGAACGGGTTACCAGAAGTGCATGGATGCCACTTCTGGAAGTCTGTTCTAGGCCTCAGAGGCCCAGGCCTGCATCGAATAAGAGAACCAGTTGTTCAGGTATATAATAATAATAATAATAATAATAATAATAATAATAATAATAATAATAATAATAATAATAACAACAACAACAACAACAACAACAACAATAATAATAAAGTTGGAAAGGACCTTGGAGGTCATCTAATCCAAGCCCCTGCTCAGGCAGGAAACCCTATACCGTTCAGACAAATGACTGTCCAGTCTCTTCTTAAAATCTTCCAGTGTTGGAGCATTCACCGCTTCTGGAGGCAGGTTGTTCCACTGGTTAATTGTTCTAACTGTCAGGAAGTTTCTCCTTAGTTCTAGGTTGCTTCTCTCCTTGATTAGTTTCCATCCGTTGCTTCTTGTCCTGCCTTCAGGCACTTTGGAGAATAGCTTGACTCCCTCTTCTTTGTGGCAGCCCCTGAGATATTGNTCCTTCTCTTCATTAAACTAGACATACCCAATTCCAGCAGCTGTTCCTTATATGCTTTAGCCTCCAATCTCCTAATCATCTTTGTTGCTCTTCTCTGTACTCTTTCTAGAGTCTCAACAACTTTTTTACATCATGGTGACCAAAACTGGATGCAGTATTCCAAGTGTGGCCTTACCAAGGCATTGTAAAGTGGTATTAATATTTCATGTGATCTTGATTCTATCCCTCTGTTAATGCAGCCTAGCACTGTGTTGGCCTTTTTGGCAGCTGCAGCAAACTGCTGGCTCATATTTAAGTGATTGTCCATTAGGACTCCGAGGTCCCTCTCACAGTTACTACTATTGAGCAAGGTACCCCCTATACTATACCTGTACATTTGGTTTTTCTTGCCTAAATGTAGAACCTTACTTTTTTCACCATTGAATTTCATTTTGTTAGATAGCACCCAGTGTTCAAGTCTATCCAGGTCCTCCTGTATCTTAAGCCTGTCTTCTGGAGTGTTGGCTATTCCTGCCAGCTTGGTGTTGTCTGCAAATTTGATGAGTTCCCCATCTATCCACTTGTCCAAATCGTTGATGAAGATGTTGAAGAGCACTGGGCCCAGAACAGAGCCCTGGGGCACCCCACTACACACTTCCCTCCATGTAGATGCGGTTCCATTGAGGACCACACGCTGAGTATGGCTGTTCAGCCAGCTACGGATGCATCTGGTGGTGATGCTGCGTGTTTCCACCACTGCGTGTTTTCCCAAAAGTAAGGCGTACCCCCAAAATAAGCCCTAGCTTGATTTTTGGGGGTGGGCCTAATATAAGCCCTACCCAAAAAATGAGCCCTCATTTTGGGGTGAGGCACACACCAAAAAATCAAGCTAGGACAGGGGTAGGGGTGTGGATCTTCCCCATGTGCTTCGCACTCACTTACCTTGCAGCCAGGCCTCTCCTTGCCAGCCCACTTCTTCTGCAGCCAGGCCTGCATTTCTCAATCAGAGGCCTTTCTGGAAGGCCTCCGCAGCCAAGAACTGAGGTATGGATTCAATCCATAGCTTGGTTCTGCAAGACCTATATGGCCGAGGACTGAGCTATGGATTGAATCCATACCTCGGTATTCAGCTGCATAGGCCTTTTGGAAAGGCCTGACTGCAAAATGCAGGCCCAAATACAGCTGCAGAACCTCGGCCCCAGAAGAAGTGGACCTGCTGGGCAGGGCTGTCGGTGCTGGAGGTGAGTAAGACCTACCCCGAAAATAAGACCTAGTGCCTCATTTGGAGGCAAAAAAAAAAAAGATTGAGTCTTATTATGAGGAAACATGGATAGCAGTGTTCCAATATCTAAGGGGCTGCCCCAAAGATGAGAGGGGCTCAACCTATTCCCCAAAGCCCCTGAAGCAATAGATGGAAACTAATCAAGGAGAGAAGCAACCTAGAAATAGTTTCCTGACAGTGAGAACAATTAATCAGTGGAACAATTTGCCTCCAGAAGTTGTGAGAGCTCCAACAGTGAAGGTTTTAAAGAAGAGATTGGACAACTATTTGTCTGAAATGGTATAGGGTCTCCTGCTTGAGCAGGAGGTTGGATTAGAGGACCTCCAAGGTCCCTTCCAACTCCGTTACTCAAAAGGATTGCACTTCTTCACGTAGCACGCAATTAAGCTGGGGAACTGTGTTTTCACAAGACGTGGCAGTGACCATAAACTTGAGTGGCTTTAAAGAAGATTAGATAAATTCACAGAAGTTCTGGCCAACAAGGGCCATCAGTCCTGAAGATTCCATGCTACCTCTGATTTGGGAGAAACATTAATTCCAAATGCTCACTGGTGGGAGAAGAGTGGGTTTCCATCTCCTGCTGCCCAACTCCCACCACTCTGGTTGTCCAATATGAAAAACGTGGGCAACAGTAGCTGTTGGTTTGATCCAACACACAGCTGTTTGTTGTTCTTTAGAAGGAAGAGCCTTGATGGTGCAGTGGTTAGAATGTAGTATTACAGGCTAACTCTGCCCACAGTCTGAAGTTCGATCTTGACAGGCTCGGGGATGACTCTGCCTTCCATTCTTCTGAGGTCGGTAAAACGAGGACCCAGATTGTTGGAGGCAACATGTTGACATTGTAAACTGCTCAGAGAGTGCGATAAAGCACAATGGAGCGATATGTAAGTTTAAGTGCTATTGCTAAATGCTATGGCTAATGCCTCTTAAATTTACAGAAAGAAACTTCTGAGCATTTAGTGTTGCTCAGAACATCAGTTATTTCAATGTTGGAAGGGACCATAGAAATCTTCCAATGCAACCCCTACCCTGTGCAGGATCTATCCATTATTCAAGCTGCATATGCTCAGACTCATCATATCAACAACAATATCCCAATGACTTTTTGTAACAGTTGTGAAAACAATTTTCTGAAGGGTCTTTAAGAGTTAATTATAATTCTGTTCAGAACTGGAGTCGATATTGATGATGGTTTATCCTTTTTTAATCAGTTTGGGATAGTGGTGATAAACAGTCGCAACAACAATTATAGGTGGTCTTCGTCTTACAACTTTTCGTTTAGTGACCATTTGAGGTTACAACAGCACTGAAAAAACATACAACCGTTTTTCACACTTATAACTGTTGCAGCATAGTCATGTGTAGAGATAGGGGTCAGGTAGAGGTCGTGAGCAGCAAACTGTCCCTCCAAAGCCTGCATGCCTCTTCTCTCTACATGATCTCATCTGTTCACATTGCCATGGCAATGTGGGAAACTACCCCAGGCTGGTACATGATATCACCTGGTTCACATGATATCAGCTAGGTTACATCAACAGGATGTGGCAGAAAACTGCTCCCTGGCTGGGGCCTCCTAGCTGGTATATTCTTAAGGATTGGCAAGGGGTTTGACCAATAGAACTGTTGTTGCTATGCTGATGCCATGTTACTCTATGCTATTTGGAATACCTGTATAAAAGAATAAACACTGCAAAGGCAGTCAGCCATATTTGCACCCTGCAATGACTGGTCACTGATTCCAACAGTCATGGGATCAAAATTCGGGCACTGGGCAACTGGCCCATATTAATGAGGGTTGCGGTGTCCCAGGGTCATGTGGTCCCTTTGTGCAAACTTCTGACAAGCCAAGTCAATCGGGAAGCCAGACTGACTTTATAATTGTGTTACTCACATAACAACTGCAGTGATTCACTTAATAACTGCGGCAAGAAAGGTGGTAAAATGGGGCAAAACTCACTTAACAACTGTCTTGCTTAGCAATGGAAAAATTGGGCTTCAATTGTGGTCGTAGCAATAGCAATAGCACTTAGACTTATATACCACTTCACAGCCCTCTCTAAGTGGTTTACAGAGTCAGCCTATATTGCCCCAACTATCTGGGCCCTCAGTTTACCAACCTCAGAAGGATGGAAGGCTGAGTCAATAGCAATAGCAATAGCACTTAGACTTATATACCACTTCACATAGCATTACAGCAGAATCAGCCTATTGCCCCCAACAATCTGGGTCCTCATTTTACCAACCTCGGAAGGATGGAAGGCTGAATCAACTTTGAGCCGGTGAGAATTGAACTGCCGAACGGCTGGCAGTCCGCAATTAGCTGAAGTAGCCTGCAGTACTGCATTCTAACCACTGTGCCACTACGGTCGTAAGTCAAGGAGTACCTGTATTTACCACTACTACTACATTTACAGGTTGCCCTTATGGCTGTTTTTCACAGTTACGACCCTTGTAGCATCCCCGTGGTCATGTGATCATAATCCCGATGCTTGGCAACTGGTTCATACTTATGATCGTTGCCATGTCCCAGGGTCACGTGATCCCCTTTTGCAACCTTCTGGTGAGCAAAATCAACGGGGAAGCCAGATTCACTTAACAACCCTGTTACTAACGTATCGACTGCAGTGCGGCAAGAAAGGTCGTAAAATGAGGCAAAACTCATTTAACAAACTTAACAACAGAAATTTATGGGGTCAATTGTGGCCGTAAGTCAAGGACTAACTGTATTTCCAGAGCACATATCCCATTGTTTCAGCCCTCAGTAGGTCAAATACTTACCATAATAGCGTGGAAAAAATGGGGTAACCCGACATATATTCGGCTTGCGTATTTTAGTGCTAGTAAAAACTTTTAAACCCAAGTCCTGTCAAAGGAAATGAAGAAGTCACAGTGAAACATTTCAAAAAGTATGAACAGACCCAAATGAATTTTTTTTTTTTTGAAACTCCAAGGTGAATGCTAGGGGTAAAATTCCAATATTCTTACAGCTAAATTCATGTCTTGTGACTTTTCCAGCAACTGCCGGGAAATTATTTATCACTGTAAATCAACTAACCTATAACCCTGGGGTTTCCTGGTGGCCTCCTAGATGCTGTTACCTAACCAATCAAAGGTAAGGACTCAAGTCAAATTCAATTCTTGGTGGATTTTTTGGGGAGACATCCATCGAGTGATTTTGGGAACAGTATGGAAGGAGTTTGCCGTCACTTGCATCAAGGTAGATTTTTCAACCTAAATTATAATCCTGAATCTCCTGAAGGTTTCCTATCCTCCAAGCAAGTCCAAACTTTCTTCACTGTTTGAGATCAGCTAAGCTGTTTAGTTGCCAGCCTGCTACCAGCCAGCCTTCCATTGAGGACCTGTATACTACACGAGCCAGTAAGAGGGCTATGAAAATATCTAAAGATCCCCCATATCCTGGACATAAATTGCTTCAACTTCTTCCCTCAAGATGATGCTATAGGACAGGGGTCCCCAATCTGTGGGTCATGGCCAATACCAGGCCACAGGCTATTGGCCATCAGGCCATGTGAGTGGCTAGACAGTACGTGTGTATGTGCGCACACACACACACACACAGCCCCACTCGTGCAAGTGTTGCAGGCGCTTGCAGCCCCATGTGCGGAAGTGCTCATGGCCCCACTTGTGCAACTGGTGCTCGTGTGCACGTATGTGTGTGTTCACCCCCCACAAAACCATCCCTTATTTCTCCCCTCCCCCCACTCCAGGTTGCCAACCCTGTAAGGTGGGGGAACTCTGCCATATAGCATTGCACACCAAAACAAGTGCAATACAAGGACAGTTTTCCCCCCATGTCATCACTTTGCTAAACAACTAATTCCCACAACACTGTCAAACTACCTAGTAGGGTTGTAATTATTATCCTTCCC